GTAAGTACTCGAACCCCAAAGATTCCCTTCTCTATTTAAGAATGGAGATTACACTATGCGGCGTGCTTCCGAGCGCACTCCCAAACTGAGTAACCATATCAACTCTAATTATAACTAAGTTTAAATAGACTTTCTATATGTAGCGCAGATTTCGGACCGAAGATTTGTTAGTTCAATGAAGGAGATAGGAATAACGCACCAGCAAATCAGTAAGGACATGGAACGGATGGACGGACAATAGCGCAAAGACCTAGGAGGAGGCGCACAAATGCACGCGCATAGCGCGAGCGCAGGTAAGGCGCACGTAAGTGTGCACGAGACTGGTCCTTTGGATTAGAGCTGGATCATATAGGAATGTATGGATGAAGGCCGGATACTCGGCATTGAGACGCGCGAGTCTCTACAGCGGCACATGCCACAAGATAGGAGGTGATATATCCAAGTCCCAGAGTGTCAAGTAGCAGTATTGTAGGAGGTGATATATCATGCACCAACCTTTTTTCTAACCTACCGGAGTTGATATATCACTTGACTGACAATTCCCAGTATATCCTACTAGTATAAGAATGCCAAAGTATGTGATATATCATGATGCAAATAATATTTTTTATTACACTCGCAAGGGGGTGATGATATATCATTTAAATTTGATGTATCATAATTTATGGCAGATGTGCTACCAATACGAGGCTGTGATGTATCATTACAGCTGATATATTAATCATGGTGGTGGGTGATGTATCATCTTCTTACAGATGTAGTCAAAGGCCGTGATATATCATGTACCTTCTACAATGATAGGTAATTGATACAACATTATGACACTGTCGCCTGTACAATCCTGCAAAGGGGGGACTTAGCTGTAGGTTCTGTGAGTCTGTACAAGCTTGTACAAGTGCCCAGTAGTTTGCTGATGTATGAAAGCCAATGCTATTGGTTTGCGGTTACAATGCAAATACTCCTCATATAAATGATTATCAGCCACGTGTCAAGTCAACTCATGCACACAGGATGACCATGGATGCCTTGAGCGCTCCTGAAGACCGAGGAACGTAGATGAAGCATCATCACACACCGGTCTTTGTCATCTAGTGTGTTCTACGAGAGCAGGATCTAGTGGAAAGGTATGGGATACATCGTGAGTTGGAACTAGTACACAGTCCAAAGAACAGTTATCTCACCTTCGGAAATGTGATACGAGCATCTTGTCCTCAGGAGAGTACTGTATACTCTGTGACGAGCAGCCAAAGTCGCGATGTCTAGGTCATGTGTCATGTAGGCTGTGGCACAGGCCAGTGGGACGCTCTGACATGAACAGAGGATGGCAGATGGCGAGGAAACCACCAATGCTGATGGGGTGAGATGGTTTGGTCCTGCTTTTAAGTTGGAGTTGGTTGATAAGGGCACGGACATGTGTTGGGGAAGATCTGGCAGCTGACCCAAAGCTGACTGGTTGACCAGTCACTCAGTTATCCAGGGTAGAGGTTTAGCATCTATGGATATAGATAAGTGTTTGGGGAACCACCCTTCATCAATATCGATCATCAGTCTCACGCACCTCCATATGCTATCAGATCTCAAGGCTATTGGTGCAATCGCCCCATCAGATTGTCATACCTCTGGTACCCAGTGAAAAATGAGATAGTTGGTATCGGGCTAGTGATCATCGATCAGATCGATCAATGTCGAACGTCAATGTTGTATCAATCAAAGAATTTAAATAATTACTTGTGTTCAATTAGAAACGTTTGTGGAGAACAAATTTCAAAGCATCCAATTGAGGACGACTAAAACAGCAAACCATCTCGGCTTATCACGCCATCGTTACTAGTTCAAGTTGCAAAAAAAATAAGACCATTCTCAGTCCCACTGCTGTGGCCTTTGGTTATGGTTTCCCTGAGTCAAACGCAGAATATGTTCTTGACGAATTATGGCCAATGCAATGGTTCTGTTGCTTGCATTCTGATGCATGTTGAATACCAGGGGAGCTCCCTTGGAGATTCTGGCTGAGTACCGAGTATTGAATATTGCCAAACTCCAGTAAGGCATAATTTGCTTAGCATCAATAGCCCTTCCCGATGACAGTCACTCTAATTAAACTATTCAAATACAATATCACACCACAGCCGAAAAAAGGGTATCATATATCAAGCAGACTCCAACACATAGCTGCCAGTATTACTCTCTCGTTAGTCCCCGCGCACTAAGCACTTCACATAACGATGACACATGCTGACACAAGTTGCCCCCATCCATATAATAGCCGCCGCTCTGATGAAGGCCAGTGAGCCAAAGAAAATGATGAGCTGTGCAACCTCCAGAAATCACGCACCGCATAGTATTCGCAGGTGGCCACATCACCCGTGCTATCCTCGTAGCTGCCAGCCCAGATCAGTCACTTTGCTCGATGAAGATGAGAATGTGACGTACGTGCAAATGTACCCCTTGGCGGACTGCAGGGTGCTGTTGACTAACCGGTAGCTTGTCGTACCGACTTCCAAGGTGCGATTGCACGTTGCACATTCTGCGTTGGCACCAGCGAGGAAGGTGAGCAGCGTAAGGATAGCGAAGCGGAAAGTGAACATTAAGGAACTTGTTGCAGTGAATGGGATGCAAAGCCATAACAGACAAGTATTTTATAGGCTGAAATTACTGGGGCCGTCACAATTTCGCCTTAACGCACACGTAACCTTGAGGCAGCAGGCCTACTAGTAGGGTTCGGTACTTGAGCGAAGAGAATCAATACTCTTCGCAGACCACAGGCAGAACTGTGAACGTCATTCTCACTAAATTATTGAGGTTGCAAGAGTAACACTGAGAGCTAGATGCACCTACTATTATCTAACGAAACTTCTGCTGTGAAAGGATTGACTAAAGGATTGTCACACACTGTACAGGCTAGTCTCACCATTGAATAACACGAAGACACTCGTTCCTTCTATGAAGCTTTGCGGCTAACGATATCGATTACATAAACTCATCTCATCGATGGACAGAAGCAGTGGAAAAGTTAACGTTGGCCGCGAGATGCATTTCCGAAGCTTAAGGCCTTCGGAATCGAGAACCATCGAATTAAATGTGAGTCAGACGGGACGAAGCGTGCACGCGTGAGCATCTGTCGGGAATGATATAGTATCGATACCTACCACAACCGTCGGCACGTGCAGTGGACTCCACAGCCATCCGTTATGATCAACGCAACACATTGTAATTGTACGATCAATTCAGGACTCGAATCGTTAACACAGATAAAGCACCAGAGCATTAACAAACAAAAGTCAAGGATTTCGCAGCAAGTGGAAGACAAGATTGAACAACAGCCAAAACCTAACAGTTTGAGGAAGTCAGCTAGTCTTCAATAAATTCCCACACTCCATTTCAACTCAATTTGTCTCTTAGTTGACCGTCTCACTGCGTGATCCTCTGTCTGCGAAATATCGCGTTCTCCAAATAAGTAAGTTCTGCTGCAGTTTTTCCTTGCCATTCAGGTCACTGGCCATATATATTTTGCCCAGAGTATGCATACATGCTGCAAATCTTCACAGGAATTTGGAAGTACTTTTTATGCAGGACGGTTTTACCGGTGGGATTCTACCGAAATTTCTGCTGTCTGATAGCAACAACAATTCTGCCAAATCGATCAGAATCGTGCCCATAAGTATATGCAGGATATAAAAGCTGGTCGACATTCTATAGCGTTCCCCATCCTCGAAGATATCATTCGAGATCCTCCTCAGAAGATTCCATATTACCTCGTACAGAAAATGCATCTCTCCCTCCTCGCCGTTGTTGTTGCTTTGACAGCATCTACGTTTATCAGCGCATGTTATTCCCCGGGTCAACCTTGCAAAACATACATGGATTGCTGCGGTGGCACGAATTGTGCCAATACTTCCGTGAGTATGAGCAGGTCGCTGTGCAATCAGGATTCAACCACAGGACTCACCTGCGCGCCTTAGGGTACAGGTCTCACTTGCCAGTAATGGTCGGTCGAAAATTGAGCGGGCAGTTTCTGCTTTCGCTTTGGTATCATGGTTGATGGTGCAATACCTAGTTCGGAGTCAATCAGTACAATTGTTTTGGGACAAACTTTGTGCTACCCTAGCAGTCATGATATTTGAAGTTATTTGAAGATAAGTGACGGTGCCTAGTTTTGCTCGTGGTCCACCAAGCTCGAGTTCGAGTAGCATGGGGAGCTCGGGAATGGTTATCTTCATCGAGCGAGTGTTGGATGAGGTAGTACAAGGGCGGGCGACGCATCAATGAACCTGTGAACAGATGAGATTGGTATTTAAAGTAATATATTGTTGAGCATCGCAATAATCATCAATGAACGTAAGATTGCCCACCACCTTCACATGCACATGGGAATGTTATGCATTGTCGAGGAAACACCGATTCAAGTTGCAAGCACGCGGACCAGCACTGAATAATTTCCTAGCGCAACAGATGGACGGAACGCATGAGAAAACTTCAACAAACGAATACTCTTTTTCTCATCATCATCCGCTTGAAATTGACAGTAGTATAGTACCACGTTTATCGCGGTCGAATCCAGGTCCTTTCGCCATTGCAATACTTGCGACAGACACCAAAAGTCTGACAGAGAGGGTTAAAAGCATGTATTATGACTTATGACGGGTGCAGCAACAGTGCGACAAGGACCACATGCGCTAGTAGCGAGTACTTATACACCGTTGGCCACGATGTGTACGAGTAGCAGCAGTCATACTAGTAATAGAACACGAGAAAGACGACTTCTTTTGTAGCCAGAATGTCGCATTTACGAAACGCTTTGATTACCATAGATGAGACAAAGTACAAAGTACTTAGCTATAGCTTTGTGCATACTCACTGCGAGGAAATTGTTTTTTTTCCTTGTTGTTCATACTCCACAAATAATCTCGGGTACAAGAAAGAATATTAAGAGAGCAACTATTAGAAGCGGCTGATTTAAGATAATGGAAGGAATTCCTGTAACGGATGGAGTCTAAGATCTAATGATGTGCCCAGCTAATCCTGTCGGGCTGTTTCCACTTTACATCCTGCTTAGCATCCATGCGTATGCACCCTTGCTACATACGGACACAATTCATCCCCATCTTGGTATATGCCGGCGTCCTGATGTTCGTAAGCGTGTGTTAAACAAAAATGATGAGCTGCACAGCATCTAGCAAGCACATACCGAATACTCGCAGGTCACCTTAGTGCCCAACTTAGAATTGGTGTAACTGCCAGCTCATCAGTCATTTTGGTTGACGAAGATGTGAGGGTGTGACGTACGTGCAAAGTGTGTACCCGTTGGTCTCAGCGGTGCTGTTGGCTAGCGTGTAAACCGCCACACCATCGACTTCCAAAGTATTATCGCATGCTGAACATGACGCGTTGGCACCGACAAGGAAGGCGAACAGCGCAATGATGGCGAAACGGGAGGTGAACATCGTGAAACTTGTTGCAGTGAGGGAGGTCAAGCCATAGTATGCAGATATTTTATAGGCTGAAATTACAGGGGCCGTCACAATTTACGAGACTTCCGCTTCGCCTTAGCTTCAGACGCGCACGTAACCTCAAGGCAGAAGGCCCAAGGTTGAAGTTCGGTACTTGAGCGAAAAGAATCAGAACCCCCAAAATAAAGAAGTGTGGAATCACTCTCACAAAATCGAGGTCGCAAGAGTAAGACCGAGGGCTACTAGATGCAGCCCTATGTCATAGGCTATGTAGCACAAGAAAAGGTTGAACGGTGGGGGAAGGGGATTGTCTACACTTCGTAGCCGGTTTTCCCGCCATGTACTACTATGCAGACTGTTGAATAAAAGAAAGAGAGTCATTCCTTCCATGAATGTTGCATGAACTTGAGCGCTTGAGCTTTGTAGGGTATGTCAGTCAATTAAACTCGTTTCATCGATAACAGAGTGTTGATGTAAGTTATCGAAACGTTAACGTTGCATATCACAGGCGAGGTCTAATACTTACGTAAAATGTTGGCGAAGGGTGAAAGCATACCATAATATCGACATTCTCCGGCGTCCGGAAATTGATAACACTTCCATGCTTTACTTGAGCTCATTATCACGACATTTTCCTCAAGAATATCAATTGACACGTACTCACAAAAAAACCTCTCGCGAGAGAATGGATGGTCTTGAATTCTGGAAACAATCATCTGTTCGGCAGCTATCCAACAACCGCCGTGTATTCGAACATGAGTCCGCGCGACAATGATTAGCAGATCTACATAACTTGAAACGGTTAGTAAATTTTGCAAGCTTTGATGATAGTTTGCCAAGTCCTTACTAAGTGCTCACTGATACCAATAGAGTTGCAGCGTGAGCTTGTCATTTGAATGTGACTATCTTTTTTCTGCTGAAGTTCCTTGTAGACTAGCTTTGCTATTGCCCTTTGCTTCGCATTCGGTGACCTGTCCCCATTCTTACTGTTAAGCATAATCATAATCTATGAGCACATTCTTAAAAGCTTAACGTCCGAGCACATCACGCTCAGCTTCTGGCCAACTCCGGCGAGGGAACTGCCATAACTATAATTACACTTCAGGCAAAACACGTATGAAGAAAATTCTTGACGCAGACGAAATCTACTGATATCTAGCCAACTTTCTGCAGACCAATATCGCTCCTCTCGTCTGGCCAACTCCACATCACATCCTGCTTAGCATCCATAGTCATCCTTCCTTGAAATTTTCGGGCACTTCTCATCCCCACTCTTTAACTCGCCGCCATCCTGATGACCATCCAACGTGTCAAACGAGAACGACGAGCTGCTCAGCATCCAGAAATCACGTACCGTATACTCGCAAGTCACCACGTCGCCCAACTTATCCACGTAGCTACCGGGCCATCAGTCACTTGTCTTGATAAAGATATGAGTGTAACCTACCTGCACTCTGTGAACCCGTTTTCGGTCTTCACATAGCTAGTGACTAGTTCGTAGATCGCTACACCGTCGACATCCAACGATTGCGGACACGTTGCGCATCCAGCGTTGGCACCAGCGAGGAAGGTGAGCAGCATAAGGATAGTGATACGACAAGTGAACATCATGGAGTTTGCAGTGAGTAATGCAAAGCCATAGCGTGCAGGTATTTTATAGACAGATACTCGCAATTTTCACTTCTCCTCGGGTTGTTTCGTTTCTACTGATAAATTCAACCCAAAAGAAGTCGGGTTGAATGACATAAGTCATTGAAAGCCTGTTCTGAACATTGAACAGCACATTTCAAAGACGCACTGCCACCGTGTAGCTCAGGACGGTGTTGGAAAATGCTCGTCTTAATTCACATTTTACTACGTGTAGTAGTACTGTTCGGAGGAGTCACTCATCAGCAAAAGACTCACGATTTTCGCTTGTTAGAAAGAAGTTTGATGCTGACGGTGAGCTTACGGTATTGGTGATCTCGGAGCAACGCGATTAGCGGAACGGACTTATCCCGTATGTACTAACAGCAGTAGGAACTTAACAAAAACAAAAACATATTGTACGAAGAGACTTTATTTGGCTGTTATAAGTTATATTTTGATTCATGTCGTACCATCTGTTACGGTCTGCGATTGAGCTCCATTTCGTGAGTCTCAGCTCAGACAGAGTAGCGGGTCCTTCTAGGGCAACGAAGCTCAAGTTCCCAATCAGATAATTGATCATCATGTCAGCATCGGAAGTCAGACATCGTAAGGCCATTCACGATGTCTAAATAGATGAATTTCAGAAGAGTCTTGCGATTCGCGGCGCTTTTCGTTAGTATCGTAATGTGATCAACAACTCCGGAGTCCGCTTATTTGGTCAATCAGTCACATCTCCAGTACTCGCCGATATGCAACGGCTTCGTTGATACTTGGTAGTTTCGATCGTGCAGACAGTTTTGAATGAACAGCGGCAGGTGAAAATCAGAAACAACGGCTGGTGAGGAAGTTTAAAGGCAATGAGATGCTAGCCTAGTTAACGGCTAGACGGGTACTACCCGATGCCTGGGCAGTACTATGCACCAATTACTGGCGTGCTGGATATAAATCAGCATAGAGGATAACCTGAAAAGCAAATGCATTGAGTGAGTATAAGCCATTTAAATGTAGCATAACAGCGGCAGGTGAAAATCAGAAACAACGGCTGGTGAGGAAGTTTAAAGGCAATGAGATGCTAGCCTAGTTAACGGCTAGACGGGTACTACCCGATGTCTGGGCAGTACTATGCACCAATTACTGGCGTGCTGGATATAAATCAGCATAGAGGATAACCTGAAAAGCAAATGCATTGAGTGAGTATAAGCCATTTAAATGTAGCATCACACCGCGAGCAGAATATGCAAAATGAGGCAGACGCCCGATTCAACATAAATGACCACGCTCCCTCTGGTTGTCAAGTTTTGTTCCTTTTGGGCCTGTGATGTTGTAGGATTGTCGTTTCCGCTAAATCGTTTGTAGATGATGTGTGCATACGACTACATAGGTTCATGTACGATAATTTTTTGGACCAAACCTGTTCCTAATCGACCTATCTCGTCCAGAACAGCCTGTCGATTTAACATGACAAGATCCTTGTCCTTCGCTTTATCCTCCTATCAAATGTTGGTTTAGATGCAGATAGTTTGATGGGATCGACATACCTTGGCTAATGGCTTGCTCGAGAAACCTGCTAGTGCACGGAAGGGACGGGGTGCTCCCAAACTCGGAAGCCAAATTGCTCCAATGCGATCACCTCCAAAGGGATCGGCAAAGAATTTTAGTGTATCTGCGTACGTGCTCTGGATAGGAAGAGCTGTTAAGAGAACCTTCCATTCATATGTGAGACACACCTGCAGATCGGCGAGAAAGATGGGAAGAGGGTCAAATCCTGGGCGATGCGTCGACTCCGTTATGCCCGAATGAGCGTCTCTAGTCCAAACACTCGATTCCGCGTTGATGTTTTGGTGGTATCTTGGTAAAACTGTAGGGTTTAATTGGATAACAATATCGTAGTCATCGGTGGAATGTAAGAAGAGGCTCTGAAGGACGACGTCAGCTATGTCATCAAATGTAAGTCTGTCAATCAACCTTGATATCCAATTCTGTCTCTGCGTTACGAAGTACTTTGCTGGCCTCCCTAGCAAATGCGCGAAGACGGTGGACAGCAATTGCATCTGGGCCATTTGACGTCCACATTTCAGGTGCCGTTGCCGGGGGATCATCCTCATACAATGTAAGACAAAGTGGCTCCTTCCAATCCCAATCTGTTAAGAATTCCAAGACGAGGGAGAAACCACGTTCTTTACTATGAGGCACAGCAGCAGCACTCTCCGTCGATGTCTGCTTTCCACCAACAAATGGTAGTGCACAAATGATTTCAATAGCCTCCTCTGAGACGTGGGTGTGCAAAAGCCAATGTGCAGCAAGCCAGCGCTTGACAAGGCGGACGGTGCCGGAGTATGCGCTGTACTTGTGGCAAAGATTGACGATGGCACGATGGTGTCGTGGGGCATAAATAAATCGCCGCGTGTAAAGTTCCTGGGCGACCTTGGCTTCGCGTTGTTCCCGCGCGTTATATTTTTGGTCGCTGGGACTGACAAACATTTTGCCGGGGTCAATGATTCGATCAAGCAAAGTTGCCTCTCGATCGTGCCAAATGAACGCAGAGAATGACCAGCCTTCAGCAGTGAATATTTCTAGCGCAGCGTATCCTTGGAATGGATTTGAGCTACCGCCGGTAGCAATTGACGCCTTGAGTCCGGGGTTTGAAGACATAAGTGATTGGGCGATAGTTTCAAAGAAAGCGAGCTTGATTTTCTGAATCGCTTTTAAGTCATCCGGCCACTTAGATGACTTCTCGAATTCGAGGATGATGGGGATGGTGGGGAGAAAACGTAGGGACTCCGGTAATTCTGCTGAAACCGAGGCAGGGATCGGTAGTGGAGCAAATGTTGAGGTATACCGCAGGTATTCAGATATGGGGCTGACGTTCAGCAGTGCCAGTGGTAGCTGCTCGTCCAGTGCTTTTAGGCTCCTGACGACACCATCGAATGCTGTTAATGCAGCCTTACACCCACCTGTAGCCCGATGTAGACGATGAACATCATCTGGCAATTGGAGTATGTTGTCGAATGGTGTCTGCAACGTCCTCACATATTTAGCAGAAAGGCCAAAATGGAGTTGCAGCAAATGTCGGACGATAGAAACCGGTATATGTGCACGCTCATCGGACGTCGTAACCTCCCAAACCACACTCTCCGTAATACGACCGTCCTTGAATCGACGAAGCTCAGCACGACTGCCCCATAGATACCGGAACTCCTTTGCAACATTTGAGTCTTGGTCTTCCGCAGAAGGTCCGTGGTCAACAAGACGGAAAGCATGGGCAGGATCATAGATAAGCCCGATGTGAATTATGGACGTGCTGGGGCTTTCTGCGGAAGATATGGGACGGTAAGGGGTAACAGGTTGGAGAATGGCTATCGCTTGGGTGCGATTGCCAAGACCTCGGCGCAAGAGGGATGAAATAGAGGCTAGAAGGGCTGCGTCAGAAGACCCATGTTCTATGACAGTCGAAGTAGACTGGTTTCGAGAAGCTTGGGACAAATTCACTCTGAAAACGGTTAAGCGTGGAATCCACAAAAAGAAAGAAAACACTTGCCTGATCACCGCATCAAAGCGAGAGGAGATTTTAAACCGACTTTTCAGGAAACAGTCGGCAAACGTGTCAGACGATGCACCGGGGTTGCTTAATTGCTCTAGTGTCTCCTTAGCATCGTGACTTAGCTTGATGATTGACAGTCAGCGGTAAGTGTTTACAAATGCTGGCAGCGAAGCTTACCAAGTCGAGTGAGGTAAGAGGAACATCAGATAAAAAGTTGATAGTAGATGTCGCATCTACGAATATGGCTGGGTGGTGGGTAATGTACTCCTCTGGAGCGCACTAGAAAGAAACATCATGCGCAAGTTCCACGTCCGTATACAGAGACGTACCCTGTGTCCATTAGTCGTCTTTGTGAACACCGGAGTCTCGCCGAACTTGTGCTTTGCTAAACTCCCTATCAGCTAATATAATAAAAAGGGAGAATGAAGGGCTTACCAAGAAAATCAAGCGCAGCTTTGAACAATTGATAAGAGCTTAATCCCTTTCCAAGCGGCTTCCTCAATTTTGCGCTTCCGCTCTTCGTGCCAACAAGTTCATCGCCCAAACTCAGATAGCGCAGTAGCCCGGCCCAAAACGAGCCTTTTCTCTCAAAGCCTCTCGCACATAATTCACCATCGCCATAACCTCGCTGGTTAGCCCACACTCTTAAAAGGGTATAAGCATCATGAAAGGCTGGCAGTGCATTTTTGAGTTCATGAGTGGACATGAGCGCTTCTTTTGCACATGTGGAAAGAAGGATGGTGTTGTTGTAGATGGGAGTAGGGAAATTTGGTGGAGACGAGGACGAAGGTACGCGAACATTCGAATGTGAGGGGAAGAGCCTTGACGACGATAACGGACTCGATGACGAAAGGACAGGGATAACATGAACTTCAGTATGACTTTTGGAAAAATCATAAGATGCACTCCCTTGCAAGGATGTCAGTTATATTTCCGTTATTGAATGAAGTATTATACCATTCCGTGACCTAAGAACCAACGTGGTCAGGCGAGGGTCTCCAAGCGCAGATGAGTAAAAGGTGTCCACGTCGAAAGCGGTTGAAATAGATTGAGCTAAAACAGCGAGGTAATAGGATTTCTTGTGGAAGAAGCGCCCATCGAGATAGTCTTTCTCTTGAAAAAGAGCCTGCCATACATCGTTCAGTGGTAAGAAAGACGACTGAGCAAACAGCGCACCTCGGGCATCTCCATAGACAGGTCAACGCTAAACCGACTCCCACTCTGCTTTTTCACTGCGATTCCGTTTCCCCAACTCCCAACAACACAGAATTCCCTTGGAGGCTCGAATGCAACTTTCCACTTGACATCTGGAGACGGGAGAGGGAACACAGATGGAACTGCGACACCTTGCTTAGCAAGGACTTTTATAGCTGCCAACGGACTCAGAGGTGCAATAGAAGGAATAGAGATGCAGTGGGCGCGCAGAGCAAAAAGAAAGTGATCGAGCTGTTGTCGACCAGACTCTTTAGGTCGGACATTAGGAAGGAGTGCATCAATCTGAAAAAAGGTAAGCTCGATGAGTCGTCACTAAAATAATCTAGCTAAACCTGAAGCTTGAATGAACCAGACTGATAGAGATCAGCTGCATCCTTGATATCTCTTAATTCATGACCAGTCAGAGGTTCTATGGACATCACATAAGGTCAGACTGTGTTTGCTATGAAGTGAAACATACCTTCTCTGCCTTGGCGATTGGTATTTTCGGAGTCGACTTGGTTCATCGCACCGGCATGTATTAGCGTGATCGTCACGGTAGAGACCTTGCAAGGCCAGCTTGCAGCTGCTTGTCAGTACGATCGCAATGAAAAAAGCTAGTATCACGTGACTATTTGAGGGGTTGGCAATGCAAAACAAGCAAGCTTGCCGCGTGCTCTCGTTCTTTCACTTTCTCTATGGACGGACTACAAGGCCCTCAAATTGAAGCATTACAACAGCTACAAAGTATCCTTGGTCCACATGACACGGAATTTGTGGTCAGTGTACTTGAAAGTGTCTCATGGGATGTTCAAGTAAGTATTGACTTATAATCTGCCATGTTTTGCGGTTGAACGCGGTCCGCAGAAAGCCACAGACCTACTATTCGACAATGAAACTCCCAAAGTTATAGCACCAACACGGACCACTCCAATGGAACAGTTGGAGCTAGATGACAATGAAGACTCGTCACCCACAATCCGACATTCTCACCGTGGTCAGGGTGTAAGAACATTCAATTATCTAGCTGTCTATGGACAGTTGACACCCCTTGCAGAGCTCGCGGTCAAATTGGAGTTTCTTATGGTCTCTACTCGCTGTTCCATTGCACCTTGTGTCGGGAGTTTTGCGCTTCGTGTTTAATGTTCTCCGCATACCAATACCGTCCCTACCGTTCATGACTACAAATTCCTATCATTCTCACCGCCCTACCTCTCCTGATTCACGCAGCATTACCCAGAGGTGGGTGCAACAACTCGAGGAGGAAACAGGTGCATGTTCCGCAAAACGTTCCATGGCGAACGCGGTCACGACAGGATTCGAGGCAGGCCCCTCAACTGCAAGACGTCATACATATCCACCTGCGGCTTCGGATGATAATCAGAAAATTCTACCCGACTTTTTTGATGGCACCTATGAAGAGGTTCTTGACATTTGTCAGAGAGAAGGGCGCATAGCATGCGTTGTCCTCGTGAGCGCTGAACACGATGATGATGCAGATTTTAAGAGGTACGTAATGTTCACCTGTACACGATGTACGATGTGTCATATTGTTCTCTGGGCACAGGTCTACCCTTACCGACGCAGCTTTCGTCAAGATCTTGCTGGATAATGATTTCATTGTCTGGGGTGGGGACATCCGGGACAAAGCTGCATGGGATGGTATGTTCCATTTATTTTATTTTTTACAATGATAAAGCCTTGTCCAGCCTCGCAGAAATTGCAAGCAACTACGTATCCCTTTGTGGCTTTCCTCGCGCTTCAGCCCAGGCGCCATGGCGCTCCTTCTGGTGCTTCCCCGGTTGTCACCACCCTATCACGTCACCAGGGTCGCGCAGCCACAACTGCTTCGGTATTGATCGACCATCTCAATACGCAGCTACTTCCACGTGTAACACCGTTCCTTGTACGATTCAAGACAATGTTACAGGACCGTGACCGTGACCGGCGTATACGTGAGGAGCAGGATCGCGCATTCAGGGAGACGGCTCGTAGAGATCGCGAGGCCATCGAGATGAGAGTGCGACAAGAGAAAGAGGAGGAGGAACGTGTACGACAGCATGCAGAGGACGTAAAAAGAAAGCAGGAAGATTCGGCGAGGCAGAAGCATCAAGCCGGAATACGTATGGAGTGGAGGAAGTTCATGCGTAACCGTCTCCTGTTACCCGAGGCGCGCGGCTTGAGACTGGCCGTCAAATTGCCCGGCAATGGACGAGTTGTCCGCAGTTTTCCTCCATCGGCGACCCTTACCGCTCTCTATGCCTTTGTTGACTCGCAACTTATCCCATCCACTTCTCGTCCAGAAGATGACCCTTCGCAAGCACCGGATGGAGTTGTCAATGATATCCCACAGCTTGATTCTTATATTCAGAGCAGGACGGCAGGACACGCGTGGTGGGGCTTTACACTTGCTTCAGCCTACCCCCGGAGGGAATTTAGGTGGAAGGCGGATGTATCTTTGACAGAGACAGGATTGAGAGATGGAGAGCAAATTGTCATGGAATTAATCACCGGACGTGAGTCCTCTAATGGTCAGATCTCTGACGACGAGTACGAGTCAGAAAGCGACTAGATCTCTTGTCATAATGCATTTGTTGTTGTTATTTATGGATGGACATATGGAGTAGATACAATGAGTTCCAGGCATTGATAGAGAACAAGGTGCTGTGATCATTGACTGAGTATTGTGCGCACAAATGATTCGTAATTCACGTTTCCGTCGCTGAATTGAGTAGTCAGCTATGTATGCCGGCAAATAGAGATTGGTTGCTTACGGGCCGATCTGAACGCCCTTGAGCAATTCATCAACCTCCTCGTCTGACATCTTTTCGCCAAGTTGGGTCAGCACATATCTCAGTTCTCCAGCCCCAATAAAACCATTCCCTTCTTTATCAAATACCTGGAATCCTCGGATGAACTCCTCTGCATAGCGATCAACGGATTGTGATGCTACAACGAACGATGTGAAACATACCAGGTGTTCCTGCAGGCTTGAAACCATCTGGTCTATTGAGGATCGTCAAAAATGTCTTGTAGTCAACTGCCCCAAAGTAAATTATCATAGCACCAATATCAATCAAAAGTAGCCAACTGACCTTCTCGTGGTGCATTTGCGATGATCTCGGTCACTTCAGCCTGGGTTGGGTTCTGTCCAAGGGCACGGAGGAGATCGCCCAATGTCTCTCGTGGAACAGCGCCCGTACCCTTCTTGTCGAAGAGCGCGAAGGCTTCCTTATACTCTGTTAAGCGATCAGTCCGCGATATACTAGCTAGATAGCACGGAGCAGCGGACCTGCATTATCACTCTGTAAGAATCGGTTAAAGTTGGCGCGTATAGATGTTTGAACGCGAGACTCACCATGGCTGCTCTGTCGATGCCATCAAACATGTTGGGTTCATCAGTACATGATACTTACATAATCATCGACATCATAAGTTATCTGTGACCTGTCATCTGGTGTCTGCGAACAACACGATTTCACCAACACGGAAGACATGAAGACACTTTTCTTTTCTTTTGAGTTATGCCGAAAGCCTACTTCTTCAACTTTTAACAGTCATATGTACATGCTGCTCTCACCAACCTCCGCAAGGTTCTGCCTCTTTTTTGACAAACCAAATACACTCCCTGCAGGTGTACTTCTGAGTGCCCAAGTACAGGATCGTTTCGCGCCAACTACCCCAAATAACTTTTCGTCCACTTCCACCATCATTTCAACCGACCATGCTTGATCTTCTGACGGTCGTGAAAGTCTACTAGTTAATAGTTTGGATGGCGCGGTGCGAGGTACCCCTGGCGAGGGAAGGAGCAAAACTACTGCATTACTTTGATAGGACGAAGATAGGGTGCGTATGTTCATCGCAGACATAAATGCCGCCGATATCGACTGGAGAATGTTTGGAGGCGCAAAAATTTGGAAGGGATCCTGGAAATAGTTCGGTCAGAAGATCACTTGATATGAATAGGATGCATACCAAGGATATGTTCCGTAGAGACAAATAGCGAACGGGCGCTTCATGCACAGGCAAGGGCTCTGATGAAATGTAGCTTTGTATGGGATATATATCGAGGATGGAAATGCTGAAACGTTGAAATGGTCAGGTTTGTTCACAACCACAGATAGAGCACTTACGCGGATGGTTGAAGGCGATCCAGTATATCATTCACATATTTGTTCATGGACCATAACGGCAATGTCGTAGTAGCCTCGGACACCAGTACAACCGTACGGGTTGATGAGGGTTTAAAAAGAAATCCCACCTGTAACACGTGATCCTTGTCCGCTCATCGAAGAGCCTAGAGCATGCACTAACCTGAATATTGTTGACGAATATTGCACCCTGCTGTTCCCCTAGGTCTGCGCCATCAGCCCAAAAATTTCCTGCAGGGCCTGATGCGATGACAAGGGGACAGCCAGTGGTAAATTGGCCTTCGATTTTTATTTTCACAATCGGAACCTGATCAGCTCGTTGGGTGGTTAGTGGGTTGTATTCATCCTCGTCATCGGACTCGATGGCGTAACGTGGCGGAAGGGCATCGGCCAAAGGATCAATTTCCTACAATCCAGATCAATCATGGATGCATCTTTGCTGAAGAAACTCACCATGTTTCAAGGTTACGGACAAGAATGCGTAGGATGACGCGTTCTGCTAAGAAGCGTAGTAGTAGTCGAACAAGGTTTACGGGGTCCGACAGTCCGGGCGTAGCTACTTATTATTAGGGCATCGTGCCACTAGGCGGCCCTAGTGGCGCAGCACTTTCCTAGTGCCCCCATCATTATTAATAAGACGCGGTCGTGTCGGCTGTGATACATCATCTTGGTCCTTATGCCATCTCACACCCTCATTCTTTACCAAATATGATTGTTATCTTAAATGATCCTACTTGGTGGCCGTCCATCAGTTCGTATCGTCTTATAAGCTATTTGTAGGTTCGTGGAGAACAGCCGGATATTGACGCTGCCGATGTCTCGATCTGACCTTGGCTACGGGTTTCCAGTTGCTTCCTTTGTTGTAGTGATGTATGATTGGGGTGAGCATGATAACACCGAAGAATGTTTGGTCGCTTACAAATATTTCCAGCTCTTACATTTGGACAGGAGGTATGTCGATGCTCGTATGACTGGAACAACCATTTCGCTAAGAATGGTTTTATAGGTTGAACTGGTCTGGGTGAGTACAGTTTCACGTCAGAGGAATACACATAAAAATACACTTAATTCCAGAGGCAACGCTGGTCCCTAATGACAGTTCTGTATATCAGTGTGTGTAGCTTGCCTGTCACGGTTGTCATGTTGTGCTGACTTGAAAGTATCCTAGATGCGCTATCTTGGAATAATATCTACTGTGTATGTTTGGAAGGCTCATCACTGTTCGTGTACTAATGTATGATCTCACAATCAGCTTGTACATGATATGTATGTCTTCTTACGTTTGATATCTTTACTTCTTCTGACCGGCGGCATACAGGCGGTGTTCCGACGATCTCGGTGACAGATACAGTCAGTCTTCTGCACCAACTTCTACTATTTTTTTCAAATTAACCGCAGCGCCATGTAGACGCGAGTGTGATTCTCTACCAACTTGGTTCACTAATGACTGTCACTATAGATGTGAGTCTGCTTAGAGTGTGTTCTACAAGGCTGATCGCTAACTAAATTTGTCAGGCTTTATTATGTACGTCGTATGGGATTGGATGGGTTTTGTGGTATTTGCAATGCTGTGGGGTGAGCTTGGCATTTGCAAGGCCTCAGTGATACTGACTAGACTAAAACAAGTCATCATCATCACTCGGTTACATGCCATGTATCAAGGATCCAGAAAAATCCATATTTTTCTTACTGTCACTTTCCTAGCTGTCAATATTTTCAACGGAGTGGTCGGTATACTGCTGATGATGCATTCTTCAGGAGGTACGCTTAATTTTGGACGACCAAAAATGTGCATTTTTATAATGATGAATACCAGATGAACTTATTCTCTCTGGCACCTATCAGTGCTCGACTAGCATTCCAGAAAATGCTATATTTCTGGATACCATTTCTTGGGTACTCGCTACTGTGTGGGAAGTCCTCGCACTGTGTCTCGCAGCCAGGATTGCTGTAAAACACTTCCGTGAAGTGCGACGACATTCTGTAGGAGGGATTTTCGGGGACTGTTTGATGATGTTGATGAAAACTCACGTGGTTTACTTTGCGAGGTGAGCTCATAATTGTGAATATAGTTCCCTTGATCCGCTGAGGGATCGAAACTGCTAGTTTTGCTGCTGTTGCTTGCCTCAACCTCATTATGCTTTTGTCTCCCACGATCTCAGTGGTATGCCAACTTCCCTTGACCTGTGCATGTAACCACGATTCATCATTACTATAGGACCAGTTTTCCCGGGAAACTGAGTTTTATTATGGCTTCCTTCAGATTTTGATGGGCATCCAATCATTTGTGCTGGGACCACGCCTGATCCTTGGCATTCGAGAATATCATGCTAAGCTCGTAGCTGACTCCGATTCAGCAACCGGCATGACCTCAATTGCTTTCCAGGAGCGCGTGCATATATCGACTGGCAATGGTGTGTAACACGGGACAATCGGGGAGATGCTCGATAGTTCTAATGGTTATCTAGTACTCTGCCGGGAGCAGCAGGAAAGCTCATTTTTATTGATTCCCATTTGTATTAATTTAAGTTATGTGGTGTTGCGAAGTGAATTCTTGTAAAGGAGACATAGGTCTGGCAATGTTTTGGTTGTAATATTTATCGCTATAGGTCTTACATAATATATAATGAAGCTTGGAACATCATAGGACATGGGATAAGCACTCATTAAACGCAAAATGAAATAGTTTGCATCTAACACATGTTAATATGCCAGGAATAAGCGAGTTCGACTCGGGGGCTGGCGCCGGCATCGTTACGATTTGATGTATGTGGTGCCGCGTCAACTCCAGTGACATGGAGCGGAATCCGAATTGTCAGCCAATTCATAGATAGTACTCCATCATGTTCACCTTGAAATTGGTACGGCGCCATGGTAAAGCTCTGCGTACCTTCACGTCGACTGCAAGCCGAAGCCACGAAAATCCTTTGGTAAGTTGAAGAGCTTTCATGTCTGCGTGTCTGATGATGCGTCCTAGTAGGGCCTCCCATTTCGACCGCCCTCTGCACCTCAAATGCCCCGACGCGGCGGGCCGATCCAAAAACGACATATTGAGCATGTAAAGAAGGTAATCGTTGTAGCAAGTGGAAAGGGGGGCGTGGGCAAGAGCACAATAGCAGGTACGTCCCAGCAGTAATCGAACGGAACTTTTGAATGACCACGAATGAAGTAAATCTTGCTTTTTCCCTTGCAATGCTGCCTCATCGACCGCGAGTCGGCATACTTGACTTGGACATTTTTGGACCTTCTATACCTACCTTGATGGGACTCCAGCATTCGGAGGACTCACGTTTAACTTCTGGTTCGTTTTCTGGCACACACCGTAAGCTTTCGGGTGACTCTGTTACTAGCTGGTGCTCTCGTCCCCATAATCAATCATGGAATTCCTACCATGTCTATGGGTTACCTGGTCCCTCGGCCACCACCTGACTCTACGGAATTTGAAGGGGCAATTGTCTGGCGCGGCCTTATGGTTCAAAAAGCCGTGCAGCAACTCCTCTTCGATGTTGACTGGCGGGACGCTTGTGGATCTGGTCCTGGGCTGGACGTACTAATCATAGATATGCCCCCAGGGACGGGAGATGTTCCTCTTACACTGGGACAGTTAGTTGTCGTTGACGGTTCGCTTCCACGAGCTCTTCAGATGTTCGTCATCTAAAATGAAATAGGCGCAGTCATCGTTTCAACTCCACAGGACGTCGCACTAACAGATGTGAGAAGAGGAATTTCTATGTTCAAAAAGATCTCAGTTCCGGTAAGCATTGTATATACTGTCTTTTGGGTTCACCCTAATTGTGTTCGTTGCCACCTGCAGATAACAGGCCTCATCCTTAACCAAGCATCATTCCTGTGTCCTTCTTGCAACATCGCGCATGAGATATTTGGGACTTCAACTAATGCATCGCGCCTTGGGATTCCTCTCCTAGCGCAACTCCCTCTTGTCGGGGGCGTGAGCTGTGGTGGAGACCGCGGCATTCCATACGTCCTAGAAGGCAAAAATGGGAGTGACAAGGATGGCAAGGCGGGAGAGATATGGCGAGATGCGATGAACGAAGCGGCAAGCAAAATGTGGGGGTTAGTTCACAGTTGAATGGGTGCTACCATGCAAGGACTTTCACTTTGCCTCGGAAGTATGAAAACCGCACGAATGGAGGCAACATATTGACCTGTTTCTACTACCTAGCTTTAGGGTGTGGAAGATGGGCTCCGCTTGCTACACCTTCGCTATCCGTCGCATTACATGGAAATGCCGTTTTATTGCATCCGCCGTGAATAATGATAATGATATAACTGCAATACAAGAAATGAGTCCGAGTGTGCAATTGCACAATATAAAATAGTAAATATGAACAACACTACACTCTAGTAGATTCGTATCAACACGCTGAGAATCCTCCAAAGTCTAAAAATGCCTCTTCCAGTGACATTTTTCGAACAACAAGCGCCTCGACGATGAGCCGAGGTTCTGACAGTGCCGTCTCGATCTCAGAAGTAGGAGATTTGGACGGAATCAGCGTGATCTCAGGTGGGGAGGCCAACTCGTTTGCAACGGGTTGGGGCTGACAATATGTTTCCGCAAAAATGGAAGAGGGTGACCCAGAGCATGCTTCGACAATTTGAGCGTCTATTTTTAAGACAATATCAACCGCTGGAGTGTAGACAGTGGAATTGAGGCTACCTTCGAGGTGTGCATTGTCATGCACTGAGGACTCGATTTCGGGAGGCACGACTGCCACGCACAGGCCTTCGGGCTCGAGTGTGACATGAAAGGATTCTAGGCCTAAGACTAGCTCGCCCATTTCCCCAGCGTTAATGGTTGGAACATGCATGAGATGAGGATCGCGCTTGGCCTCACGTCGCTTGTCTCTGGCTGCACGTCGCTTGGATTGCTTGCCACCAGTCATGGAGTGGGCTTGCATTTCAGTTGAGTGTACAGGGTCTGTATCTGAGTTGTGAACATAGGTGTGGCGCAAATGATGTGTATGATGCTCGGAATGTGAACTAGGCTGGGCACGGGTGTGCGCAAGCAAATGCTTAGGTTTCTTGCCCTTGCCTTTGCGCCTATCCGAGTGGCCTGGCATGGTGCTCGCAACACGGCGGCGGAATGGGCGAGGTTTATACACGGTCGCAATTTCGAGGTCCAGAGTAAGTGCCGCATGGTCTGATAACGAGTCAACTTCCTCATTGTCCATGCAGAACACTTCCACGTGGCTGCTTGATGTTGCAAAATCATCGTCCGCATCGGTAGCCTCCAGTTCGGTCTCCGTAGTCGTTGTCGTCTCTGAGTCCTCATTTATCATTTGCCTCCGTCTCCTTCGCCTGCTTTCATCCCCGCCCCAGCTTTCAACAACTCCGCTCACCTCCGCTGGCACCTCAATCTCCTTCACCACTATAACGCTGGCACCAATCTCGCTAGCCATCTCTTCTAGGGTACCCAATGTTTCCTCCATCTCCCGCCTCTCCAGCCCTATGAGTACGCCAGAGTCGGCAACACCAAGCTCATAGTACGCCTGTCCACCGCCTTCTAGAAGGCGCCATTTGAGTTGTGTGACGAGGCGGGTAAAGCGAGAGGGGGAAGGAGAAAGGAGATGAAGCTTGTACTCTACATTCCCCTATGGGTGGTAAATACAAATGAGTGTTAGCGCATGTAACAAACGGTAATAAAACGCACCTCTTCGTTTTCTGGAACTAGCTGCGGTATTCCTCGTCGAAGGATTTCGTTGTGTGTGGGTGTTGGAGGTACGGAAGTGAATGTGTCCCATGGGGAGGGCACTCGTGGACTCTCCGAGTCAGATTCACCGAACATCTGGGACTCGGTACGCCAGGAAAATAAACCTAGCTAATGTGTTTGGAGAAACAAAGATGCAATAAGTTGTTCAGTGTATTCGAGTGATCATCACTTTCTGCTCGTCCTAGTCTGACGACTCAGTCAGTCGTCTACCATGACTCGGAGGCAGAAATTAAATAAATTGAATGAAATTATGTAATTAGAGTCGCAAATTCAACTGCTACTATCATCCCTGGGAATCTGTAACTGGTATGTAATATGCAAAATGTTCAAAACACCTCTGAGAATACAACTCAATAGTGATACTCAAAATAAAAATTAGAAATGTTTGAAAGCTCGCTAAACTCTGACTAAGGCTTTCAACTCGTGGCTAAGCGGCTTCCAACACTTCGGCCGCTGGGACTGCGATTGAAGGTCAGGCCGGCATCGCTGGCGGAGTTTCAAACAACCATGCCTCCTTCTCGCCAATGTGTACGCCGTTCTGCACGCTTGAAAGCCAACCCTCTAGTGCGCTGCTCCAGGTCAATGGACGATGAAGGTCCAAACACTTGTGGACCAGCCAAACCCCCTCCAGAACATCATGTACCCCGCCTGACTATCCAGTGGCAGAGCGACCTGTGCTCTTACCGACATCCTCGTCAGCCATCTCTCCACGCACCCCGCCGATTGCAGAGTACTTTTCTACTCTGACGGCAAGAAAGCGATGTCTGCTGTCGATGATGGTGCCTCCATCAGGAAAAAACATAGTGACTACATAGTACTATATAGTCAGGGTAGTGCGAGTAGCCCCGTCGTCAAGTGCCCTCTATGTACTCACCATAGAATCCCATAGTAAGCTACCAGTAGCTACCAGGTACTACTGTAGTTTGTAGGAGCACTACTACAGGCAACTATGACAAGAAAATAAATAATCAGTCAAGGGGATTCAAACTCTCGAACTCACTATTAACTTTCTCACCCAACAATTCATGCAACGGCACACATACCATTAGGCTATCAGACTATTACAATATATCATGTGTAATATAATTTAACAAGCTACCGTGGACTTGGAAGAAATTTCATTGAATTACTGGCAGCAACTATTATTTATACTACCATCTGCTCACAACACAACAGCTACTATGTAGTAATGTTGTTATTCTAAAGCTTGCTGCATTGGTTCATATATTAAATATGTTTGTCTTTGTGAAGATCACTGCTGGTGAAGCTATATGTAGTGGTATGAAGACCTTGAAAGCCGGTAGCTCCTGTAGCTACCTGTAGCACGCTGAACTACAGCTTACTACAGCACTCCTGCATGCTACAGGAACAAATATTTGCTACCATCACTCCAGGTTACTCCTGGAGCTCCTATAGCTCTATATAGCCCTAGTGACAGCTACATAGGGCTACTAGGGCTATATAGTGCTATATAGCTGTCACTGGAACTCCCACGATTTTTGTTTTTTCCTGATGTCAGGCTCGGACAAGGGGCAGGTGTATGGTACCCTGGCCAAACTTATTTTCACTGACCACCTGAGGTATGGTCACGCGTTCGCCACCAACGCAAAGAAGTTTTGTGACGGAGTCTGCAACCGCATCCAAACGTGAGTCGTTTCCGTCTTTTCTTCCGTTACAAAAAATACTGAAATTTATGTAGACTTAGGGGGAAATACAAGAAACTCAAGGCATCTTTTGACAGTACTGGCGCTGGTGTGATGCCTGGTGAAGGCACGCAAACGAGAAATCTTTTGGGTGAGTCCTCATTCCTCATTTTCCGGTCCTTAGCTGATGTATTTCGTAGATGCAGCGCTCTTAGAGCTCCCATGGTATATGGAATTGGGTGCCATTTGGTATTCCAATCCGTCCATGGCTGCGAAGACTCACTCATCAAGACCTGGCGTCGATCACGCCGGCACATTGTATTCCTTGGTTGGACCACATGCTGGGGCTGGTCCCCCCATGCAACTTGACACCAGTGCCAGTCCCATGCAGTACCCTCAACTGCCTCCTCAAGTATATCCCCCGCACGATATCCATCCTTCCAGCACTCCGCCCTTGCATTATGGCCAGCACTACTATCCCCCAGCAATGCCTTATGCTGGGGGTTCACACGGTGATCCCTCCATCGATCCAACACTGCAACATCGTGCTCCTGCTCCCGCATTACCCTCCGTTGGCCCTTTGCCCTCCGCTGGCCCTTTGCCCTCCGCTGTCCCCTTACCCTCCACTGCCCCCTTACCCTCCGCTGCCCCCTTACCCTCCGCTGCCCCCTACAATCAGTCCCCCCAAATCCATCTCCCTGGCCTTCCAACATCAGACGACGACATGGACCTGGACATGGACTTTCAAGGCACTGGTGGCCCATTGGATGCCCCCCTCGAAGGTGACAAGAGGGCCGATAACTCTTCCAAAGCTGCTGGGAAGAAGTGACAGTTTTTGTTGCCGTCTCCCCCTCCCGATGTTCCCGCCATTCCCGCTGTTCCCGATGCTCCCGAACCTTTCCACATGCCAACAGCATCCCCATCGTCTGTCTACAACAGCCGCTCAGCGTTTGGCCTGAAGAAGCCACCGAGCTGCGGTAGACACCGCAGGCTGCCATCGGATATCTCTTTCAGCACATCAGTGCCTTCATCCACGACACGGAATAGTACCTCGTCGTCAGACTACCTGATGTCCTCGACCCCCCAGACCTCGCTTCCCAACAGCGCCGGTGGATCGAAGAAGAAGAAAGCTAAGTCAGATGTGACGCAGCAGGTTGAGGAGGTGAAGGATGAGATAGCGTCGATGAAATCCGACGCGATGTCGCGCCACGACCACAAGCACCTTCGCTTTCTCGCGAAGCTCGAGGCGAAGACCGAGCACACCCGCGACATCAAGAAGTACAAATACCTTCGCGCCGCCCGCGAACACGAGACTTTCCAGGCTACCGTCAGCCATCAGCGTCTGCAGGAGTCGAAGGATAGTGAGATCCGCCTTCGTGAGACCGACATCCGAGTCTACGAAGCGCATTCGCTTGTGCTCGACAAGGAGGCGGAGACCCTTTGACTCAAGATTCAATTTCAGCAAATGATGCAGGCGAGCAAGGGCCCATCATCTGATGGAGTTGAGTGAGCTCTCGTTGTCGTTGTCGTTGTCTCGTTCTCGTTCTCGTTCTCGTTCTCATTCTCGTCTCATTCTCGTTCTCGTCGTCATCTCATAGTCTTATTTGCTGTTGTTGTTTCCATTGGACATATGTTTTTGTTGCTACCTTTTGTGATTGAGTACATAGGTATATACATTTGTTGTACAAGTGTTTGAGTAGTATTACATGTTCAAAAAGAATTGATCATCCTTCCCTATGGTGTGCATCTGAGTGAGGACTGTTAAAGAGCTCATCCATCAACTTTGCACGAGCAGCTTGACCAGGAGTGCCATCATATGTCCTGTCACCAACTACTTCCTCACCATCTGGACCCTCAATCTCTTGATCAATGAAATCTTCCCCCTCCGTGCGAGCCCACTTTAGAGAACTCTCGTATGTTCCGTCCTCCTTGTGATGCTCGATTTCAAAGCGAACGATCATGTTGTGCAAGATGATGCAACACTTGATCCATTGCACAGCAAACTCGAGGTCTTTCTCGGCCTGAATTCTGAACCGTAGCTCTTGAAGGGACTGGAACCGTCCCTTCAAAACAGCAAACATGTGTTCAACACGAACACGAATCTACATAAATGAAAATCAATTGAAAACCACTAAAAAAAAACATACCTTAGAGAGGTGATAATTGAATGTCTTCTGGTCCTTTGTCAGCCGTCCATTGCAAGGCCTCTTGAAAGAGGCGATACACCATGGTTCCAATGGGTAAGCACTGTCTGCCCAAACCCAATGACCATCAGGCAGAAGATCAGCGTGCTCGTCATAGAGGCGAGTGGATCGAAAAGCGAATGCATCATGGACACTCCCGGGATGACCAAGAGAGTAATCAACAATCAGGAGGTTATGGGGCAGGATGACTGCCTAGAATTAAATTAATTTTTGCACATGAAGATGAAGAACAAAAATGTTACCTGACAGCCAAGGGAATAATTGGACTTCCTATCATAAAACGTCTCACCATAATAACCAGGTTTCGTGAACAGATTCATAGTCGAACCATCGATGGCTAGAAAGCCACCTTTCCACTCTGGACAAGAACGTGACTCGGCAAATTTGCGAGCCAGGTCAGCATCCTCAGAATTACCTGCTGGGAAGCAGATAAACTGATCATGGGCATCAAGCACCGCAATCATCACACGATTAGTGCAATTAACTACGGACCCGACACTCACGCCTGCCCATTGAGCGACATCCTCAAGAGAAATGGAATTGCCATAGTGGCCTGCCCGATTCAGAAAGATGGTGAGCTGGATGGAGACAGGGAGCTGAGGATTGTTGGACTGGTTCTAGAAGATAGGGTGATTAGATATATGATCGAGGATGTCATCGAAGATCTCTGGGTTGACACGAAGTTTCTGCCAAAACAAGTGAGGGCGGTGTTCCTCGTGGTGAACCAGCATGTGAAGTTGAGATGCTCGTGGAGGAGGCTCGTCGGGCTTGTGGAGTACACGAGCCCTCATAACCTCATCACGAAGAGCATTGATGGTGTCTTGGAGCCTGTCGTAAGGCAAAGCAACGTCATCGGAAGATACAGAACTGGTATCAGAAGAATCTGAAGTTGCTGAAGTTGCTGTGATAGGGGAGGCGGGGGACATGGGGGAAGGAGTGCTTAAAGACAGACTGATTGAAACATCATCGTCTGAAGGAGTAGTAGAAAGCGAGTCCTCGGAGTCGGAATCACTCTCAAAGTCTGACCAGTCCTCTAGGATATCCTGGTATCGTAACCTGGCCAAAGAAAGTTCGGCCTGGTCCACAATATTCAGGAGCTCTTTACGAGTGGATGGACAAGGCATAGTTATGGTGGGGGGCTATGGTGCGTGTGGGATCAAAACTCCTATCTGTGTGTATATGTGACGCAGTTTTCAGCGGAGTTTGAAATTTCAGAAAGTTCCGAGGCTTCATCTTGCACTGAGCATGCTGTTGTCGTTGTCGTTGTCGACCTCACCCACGAACCTCGATGCCCATCCACAGCGCTGAGAAGGCCACCATCAAATTTTCAGGTGCCATCCACCCAAGGTAAGTCATTTTTGTGTGTAGTTAACTAACATTTACTTTTATTTTATAGGAAATCTATTATAATCCGGATTCCACACGCATCCCACCTGACCAGCGGCGCCTCGCCCTTACCGGCAAATGGCCTGTCCACCTTCCGCCTCCTTTTCTGTCTCCACGGAGGCACCCTCACATTGGAGATGGAGTCATCGGACACCATCGACAATGTGAAGGCAAAGATCCAGGACAAGCAGGGCATCCCAACTGACCAGCAGCGTCTCACCTTTGCTGGAAAGCAGCTCGAAGATGGCCGTCGACTACAACATCCAGAAGGATGTCCACCCTCCACTTGATCTTGCGTCTTCGCGGAGGCATGCAGATCTTCCTCCCGACACTTTTCATCCCCCCCTCCTCTGCTCGGCACTTATTTGGTCCCTCCCATGCTCCCTACCTACAGCTGATTTCATTCCCGCAGGCCTTGTTTTTTTTACAATTTTATTAATGCTTTTCATTTGAAATACAATTATGTTGGACCACTACTCTACCACTTTCCCCTATGTACATAGCACGCTTTGAAAATCACAAGTGTCGTTTTAAAGTCTGACTACATGCCAACGTGTGCCGAGCACATTTCTCTCGGACTTGCGCGAGTTCTTTCAAACTTTAAGCGGGGAGTTGAAGGGAGTTGAACACAGTTTAGCGAGTTTTCAAGAGTTTCAAAATTTATTTTGAGTACCACTAATGTGCTGCTCCGTAATCTGAGAACATGTGGTTGCGGCTAGTTATGTCACTAGTACTGCCGTGGTTCAGTCCAGAACCATGGTTCAAACCTGGACTTCCCTGGACCGGACCAGAAGTTCGGTCCAAGGTCCCCAATGGACCTTGGACCAAACTTCTGGTCAGGTTCGCGGTTCGATCAGTACTACTATCATTGGGCCAGAGTTGCAAAATCTGAAGACCTCATTTTCATATCTCAATAACTACCCCATATTGAGACAAAATAATTACATGGAATTATAGCTACGTGTGTCATAGGAAAGCTCTAGTTGACAGAAGAACAAAAGGTATTTAAAAGATGCTGCCAGAGGGATGCCGATGCAAGATGTTAGAAATAGTAGAGAGTTGCAAAATTTCCCATGAGCGGGTTGGCATAGATGTCACACTATGTCACAATGTCAATTTTATAAATATGAGCCCTGATCCGGCAACCGGTACATATGAGACGAGAAAGTAGCAACATTGGCATTAGGATGATTGCAGCGCGAGAGAGTCCGCAATCAGAATTGATTCTCCGCCCCAACCTGTCACGCTTGAGCATTCTTTGACACCAGTGATTGCATCGTCAATAACAACCACAACTCTGCTCTATTCTCATCGAAAAAATGCTCAGAAGGTAAGGGTAGGTATAAAGTGTATGTGAAAAAAAAATGAAATTTTTTGGTTAGAAACTTCATCTTCCCCTAACTATTCTATGCAAAACAGGTGACTTTGAGTGATAGATTTGAAGCCGTACATGTTCCTCATACTTATTTTTTTATAAAAAAAATACAATGCTATGAATCTGTGTTGGAAGGTCCTAGATCCAAGAGTAGAGGACTTAAGATGTGTTGTTGCGTGAGCTATGAAGCGTTTTGCAACTCTATACAATTTTGCAACTCTGGCCCAACGATAGTATCCCTTCCACTGCAATCGGCACCCCACAGAAGTCGGCAGTCACGCAAATGTCACTGTAGGTCACGATATGTCACGTACACCAATTTCAAAGTCAGTTCAGCAGTCAAGCAAGAGCGCAAGGTCAATTGATATTGAGTGTGAATGTTCAAATGAGCAAGTACAGTATTGACTAGTAGATATAACTAAGTACGAGGGTGACTGTTATTAGTGCCATAGTCGTAAAATCGAGGTGGATATGTAGGGAGACCATGTACATTGTATGGATGCTGAACTTGAGGCTGTCTATGTAAGTTTGATGACGATGCGATGGGACCACTGGATGGATTATTATTCTGCATAGTAAGGTAAGATGGCGCCTGGGGAGCTACATTAGCATAGAATTGATGAAAATATGGCTGATTGGTAAGGTGCGGAGGATAATGTGAATTGAAAGCATGCACGGGAGAGGTGAAAGGGTGATTGCCAAAAGCCACAGCATTTGACGAGGTGGCGCCATTGTCTTGCAATGTTGCGCTATTGACCTGTCCTGTCGATGACGCAGTGACTGAACTCTTCGAGCGTGTTTTTCCCGTCTGAAACAACGCAGAAAAATGTGGATTATCAGCAAAGTGCTGATTTTCAGCATTAGCAAGAAATTCTTTGATTCTTGCTCGAAGTTCCTCGACCGTCCCATCCCTCGAAATTTTGAGAGCACCGGCGAGTGTGATAAAGTCGTCCTTGCGCCGGAGTGTCGAGAGTGCATCAAATGTCTTTGACTCAATATCATGTTCAATTTGAGTATGACGCACTTCGTCTTCGGCCTTCTTTTTGGTCTGTTTCTCTGTGTCGGCCTTGTCTTTTTCATGCCACTCTTCCTCTGCTTTATTGAAGTCCTCCTCGAGCTCTGGGTGTGTCACAAAACGGGCCCGCAGTTTGATAGATTTCCTCGGCTGCTTCTTTTTCTTTACATTCTCTAACTCCAGTCGAGATTGAGCCAATGTCCACTGTGCCATTGTACAGTGTGCATTCGTAGCATCAAGCTGGGCAGTCAAGATCTGAGTCGTCTGAACTAATGCTCCATTCTGCTCATACATGTGCTGGAGCTCGTGCCAAAGTTCCTCCTTCGTCAGCACCATTGCCTGAACATATGAGGGGATAACAGGATGTGGGATGGGGCCTGATAGTTGCAATGTCGAGCGAGTGGTGTGAGGCTGTGTATTTTGCTGGGGAATCTCTCCTTCTGAGTCGCCGCTTTTGGATTCTTTGTCTGAGTCAGAGCTCTGAGAGTCCAAGTTCGAGTCGTGTTCATCGACGGCCATGGGAAAAAAATCATCATCCTCCAAGTCGGAAGAAGCTGCCATTGGAGAAGAAGGAATTTCGGGAGGATATGATGCGGGAAGATGTGCAGTAGTTGAATAAACCAAGCTTGGTGCAAAATCCTTGTCTGTGAAGACTGATGGATCGAGAGGATAGATACCGGTTTTTTTAAATGCTTTCTGGATGAGTTCTGGTGTAATGACGTGGTGAATGGCCATGTATTCGTGAATAAAATTATAGCGATCAATTTCAACCCCATCGGCAAGCCGTTTGTCACAATGTTTGGTCCAAGCATGCTGAACAGAGGAAAACACGCCTACATCCAGTGGTTGAATTTTGTGCGTGGTTTTTGACGGAAAGGCATGAATTATGACACCATTATCATAAGCTGCCCTTTGGATAGCTCTTTGTTTGTGCGAACTATGACCATCAACTGTCAGAACAATTAGCTTCTCAGGATCAACATGGTATTTCTCTGCCGTAGGAATAAAATGGTTCCTGAACCAATAATCCGCAATCTCATGATCCGTCCATCCTGTTGGAGAGAAAGAAACGCTGTCCAAGGATATCACAGTGTTAGTAGAGGACAATGATATGCTTATCTAACTTACTTACCCGCCTACTTTATCTTTTAGATCTCAAATATCTGGGGCTGGTCCCTCTGAAAGGACAAACCATGGTGGCATCTTAGCACCAGCAGCAGAGACACACTCAATAATGGTTACAAGCTCTAGATTATCGCTATGGACCCGATACCGATCTGAATCTTCTGCAGAAAAAATGAATTTCATGCCAGCATTTTTCCTTCCCCCACCCATTTGATTGCCTTTCTCATCCATGTTCCAATGGTGCTCTGGCGGAATTACATTATAGTCATCATCAAGCTTCTTTCGCATCTCAAAAAACTCCCCAATGGTATCCTTGTTGAAATTTCGAGCACATTTTGGATCCAGTCCACTTGCTCGAGATATACAAAGGGACGGGTGACGACAAATGAAGCCATAATGCCACTTTCGTGATGGGAGTTGACCAGTTATTTCCTTAACAGATGCACACAATTTCGCAGGGTGAATAGGAGTTGCGGAGGTGGATGCTAGGTTGCACCAATCAGCAAGAGTTTCCTCCTGTGCAGCAGATAATATCTGCTGGCTCTCATGGGCATGCCGACGAGACTTGTGCGCTCCTGAGCGTCGATCACTCAGTGTCTGACGTGATACCTAGACCAGTTGAGTGAATAATCACATGACGAAACAAGACTCACATTCTGTTCCTTTGCTGCAGCTGCAATGGATTTATATAACCCATTTGCGATTCCCTGAATTGCAGCCTGAATGTGTGACTCATATGTCGGGTCTGACAAAGCTCGCAGCTTTCCTCGTCTGCCACTGCTAGACTTGCGAATGCGGACCAGCCCCATGGCCAGCAGCGCCGCACCAGCAGTCAGCACTTCCAAAAGTGGGTGTGTGCAATTTGAAACTCTGTCACGGCACGTATCAGCAGGTGACATTTCTGCGTGACTTCAGCACTTTCGACTATCTCATTCAGTTCTTCTTCAATCATGGTCGTTCGACCTCGTAATGAGTTGTATTAGCGAGAAAATAATATCTATGTCAAAATTTTTGTGTTGAAGTAGCTATAAATACGAATTTTGTGAAAGTGCCAACTTCTGTGGGGTGCCAATTGCAGTGGAAGGGATAGTACTGACAAATTGTGAACGGGTTCGGACCGGTCTGGACCGGTCTGAACCAATAAGGTAACATCAAGGTTTGGTTGGTTACCACATACACATCGGGGTTATCAATATTTAGGACGGGTTTATACATTGTATGAAATGCGAAGAAAATATTTGAAGTTTGAACTGACATAAAGAGGGGCATATAACTTCAAATTTAGTCAACTTTGTGTGCGAAATCCCAAACATGAAATATCTGCCACTATTGTTTTGTTGACTATATGTCAATGCAAATAAGAAATATAGTCAGATTTTTAGCGTCTGCTTGAATTTTAAATTTAATTATCACATAAAACTTCGGACAAAACTTGAAGTTTAATCTACAGTTATATGCTTGCTAATGCTTCAAGTTTTGTCCAACAATTAGGGAATGCTCAAAATTTGAAGTTTATGCCAGCGACAAAACGTGATAGCAAAACTTTAAGTTTTGCCCTTGGACGAAATAAATCGCCCGATCGTTGCCCACTCATCGCTCTATCATAGCCCACTCACCACCCGCAACAAGCATTAATGGCGATCAGACTGAAATGGGCAAAAAATATCTTCATTCATATACAGTAATGTAAAACTCGTGAGCATGAATATGACGGGAGTAAGGAAACTCTTACCTGGTATTTTTGTCATGAAATCATAAGATGCTGCCGAAGTGTTATGCATGATCTTATTGGTGGCAGGTTGAAATTTGAGGGAGTGTTTCCATTGCGTGGAGGTCATTGGACCATTGGCATCCTTGGTGAGTGAATGTCGCATGCGGGAAACCCCTTCTCGAAGGTTGCCAAGACATACTTGGAACCAGTCCTCTCACTGAGCGGACCAAAAACCAACATTCAAGCCTGACACATTCCAAGTGTTGGGTCGAGGCCACCATGAAACTACCTCTGAGCTGTCACCTAGAATGTATGATTATTAGTACTGATGGGACTGAATGGTAGCAAGCTTACAGTGGTCTATGTAGTATGTTCCACACATAAAATTGATTTCCTCCTCCGACAACCCATTGTCGTAGTAAGTCTGACCACTATTGCCAACCAATAGGTTGCCAAATGGAACAGCTTCAGTTGATATACCGTCGAAGACAGATGGAAGATGGTCGACACCCAGGCTGTGCAAAGCCAACTGCCATATGAGTCCCCCATGCAGGAATGCAGCCCTCGCCCGGGGGCGATCCATAAACTCATGACGTAGCTGTTCATACACAATGTAATCAGTGTACGGGGATTGAAAGGGGGTCGTCGATGTCCCAATGTATAAGTACAAAGTTCTGAGAGGGGGCATCGCCAGTTAGGCGCGACTGTCATTCGCTGTAAGGTCCTGAATGCGATGCCTCTTTTGAGCAAAGCTAATGCAACCTGTTATATGTCTGAACCACAATTACGACGCAGACACATTACAGCAGTAGTGGGGTTGAGGACAGCCAAAGTCCAAATGACATGATTGGGGGAGTCACGGGGCTCGACAATATAATATTGACATTGTGACAGCCGCGTGCAAGAGACATGAATATGAGCATGTGAAATCTGTAGAGACGAGAGGGGTCCAAGGTCCCAAAGGTCAGGCGGGATTGTATTCAAGTCAGTGTCCTTCAAGTTGACGAGATACGCAATGAACTTAGTGATGCATTGGCATTGTGATTCTGTAATTGAACCCGTTTCTGCCATTGAATTGCCAAGGAGCTTGTGAAGTTGATCCCATTTCGTGGTTTTAATCCAGTCGCTTACTGACAGAATTGATATGGCAGAGGGAGCAGAGGCAGGGGCCATGCTTCGATATCTGAAGTGGTAATGCAAGACAGGAATAAATCCTTCAATATCTGTATGTCTTGATGAAAGCAAAACTTTGCTGCCGAAGTATTTGTATATATTGGCAGCAAAACTGGAAGGGGGTGGGGGTGGAACATGGGAAGGGGAAGTTAGAGGGAAGGGAGGCATGATATCTTCATCATCTTCGAGCCCCTTCAGTGACAAATTCCATATTATACGGGCCACCCGACCTCCATAATATCCCGTATGAGACGGGCCAGCTGATCATGGGCCCATGTTGTGTATATTCTCGATGATGACGGATGGGCCGGGACTCATATTATTTCCGATGGAGACGGGTGGGCCCATGTATGCCAATGATATATATATCCTTAATGTTGACGGATGGGCCGGGGGAATATGATCATTCATGGAGATGGGTGGGCCCATCTGGGTAATATGTAGAGTAGGATATTATAGACAGCTGGGCTGAAGAGAGATGTAAGGCAAATATTGTTATATAGACGGGCGGGCCGACATGGGTGTATTACATATATGGGTGGGCCGAGGTAGGGGAATATTACATAGATGGGTGTGCTGACGTAGGGTGTATTACATATACAGGTGGGCCGACGTGGAATGTATTACATATACGGGTGGGCCGACGAAAGGGATATCAAATAGACCGGTGGGCCGAGGGTGCTATAAAATATTTATTACATAGACAGGTGGGCCGAGGTGGGGTATAATTATATAGACGGGTGGGCCGATGTAGGATGTATTATATAGACGGGTGGGCCAACATAGGATGTATCACATAGACGGGTCAGCCGATGTGGGGGATAATACATAGACGGGCAGGCCGACGGGGGTGTATTACATATATGGGTGAGCCTAGATATGTTCCATCAAGACATACAGCTGATGTAGCCACCAGCGAATCAAACACATAGGATACATGTACACTATGAGTGCATATACCTACCATCAACCACCAAATCTAAACCCCTAAGCACAAAAACATGAATCTATCATGTGTGGCATTGACCAATAATCCAGGACTGAAGTGGAAAAACCCCACACCTGAACCCTGGTGTGCAACAAATCCTATTTCTAAGCATGGACACCAGAAGCACAACACTCACAAAAATATATATGTCAAATTTTCAGTGCCAAACCCCAAACCGAGATGTACCAACCCCCAAACCCTGAAACCCGAGAGTGCCGGGTCTCAGGTATCGGGTGTCCGGAACTCGGAACTTGGGAGAATTTGGGGAGATCAATACAATTTAATTTACAATCGAGTTGATTGACAACACATTGACTTACCCATGTTTGCAATATATTTTTGTTTAGACATACCTAGTTCCGAGTTCCGGACACCGGAGACCCAAGACCCGAGACCTGAGACTGCCGGGTCTCGGGTGTCCGGAACTCGGAACTGGGGAAAATTTGGGGAGATCAATACAATTTGATTCACAATCAAGTTGATTGACAACACATTGAATTAACTATGTTTGCAATATATTTTTGTTTAGACATACCGAGTTCCGAGTTCCGGACACCCGAGACCCGAGACCCGAGACTGCCGGGTCTCGGGTGTCCAGAACTCGGAACTCGGTATGTCTAAACAAAAATATATTGCAAACATAGTTAATTCAATGTGTTGTCAATCAACTTGATTGTGAATCAAATTGTATTGATCTCCCCAAATTTTCCCCAGTTCCGAGTTCCGGACACCCGAGACCCGGCAGTCTCAGGTCTCGGGTCTCGGGTCTCCGGTGTCCGGAACTCGGAACTAGGTATGTCTAAACAAAAATATATTGCAAACATGGGTAAGTCAATGTGTTGTCAATCAACTCGATTGTAAATTAAATTGTATTGATCTCCCCAAATTCTCCCAAGTTCCGAGTTCCGGACACCCGATACCTGAGACCCGGCACTCTCGGGTTTCAGGGTTTGGGGGTTGGTACATCTCAGTTTGGGGTTTGGGGGTTAGTAAAATGTTTACAGATATACATAGGTTGATTTAAACATGTCTGGAAGATGTCGTTCATCTAAAATGTCAAATCCTGAGTTCCGGGTGTCGGGACTCGGTACCCGGCACCCGGGACTCGGGGTTCGGCACTAATAATTTGACATTCGGGTGTTCGGGTTTTGGGTGATATCTACCTCAATCTGCAGTTTCGAGTTCTGGATATCGGGAGTGATCATTGAATGATTCAATTGTGGCATAGGTAACATGCATGGAAAAACATTTATGTACATCTATCACTGAGCAATTATGTAGCCATGTCAACCTCCTCACCAGGAAGATCAACCTTTCCCTCAACATCCATCTCCTCATCAGAAGAATCATATTCTGGCAGGAGGTTACCTGGTTCATTAGGGACCACAATATCGCTGGGGGATTCTGGCAGGAGGTTGCCTGGTTCATCAGGGAGATCAATTTCGCCGGAGGATTGTGGACCCTCAGGCTGAACTTGGGTGGGCTCAACCATGGGACCTACCACAGCAGATTCATGCTCAGGCGTCAAGGGTGTAGGTTGCATGACTGAAAAGTTCAAATCAATGAGGTTGGAAAGTGCGGAGGGGAGGGGTGACATGGACGGGGGGGACCTCCTTGACCAAGCAACATTATTCCATCGGCCGGTGTATCCGGAAGTGAAAATGAAGGGTGCCGGTCGACCACTGTGCACCGGAGGCTCTCATGGAGGCATTGCAGGGTATCAATCTTAGTGTCCTGCTCCTGCACCCAAGCCTCAAGAATAGCGATGCGAGCTGCACCATCCCGAATCGCAATTGCCATGGAATGGAGATCCGGCATGGGAACATTGAGTGCTGCACGAGGCACTGCGACGCTGGAAGACCTGACTGTCAAAAGTATGGGTGACTTACCAGCTGGCGCAGGTGCAGGGACAGGTGCAGGGACAGGTGCAGGAACAGGTGCAGGTGCAGGTGCAGGTGCAGGTGTCTTCTTGGTAGTGATGGTCTTGCTGCGACCACGTGACTGCACCTGGGGTGTGGTTGCAGCAGGGATGGCCGGAGTTCGGGAAGGGCCATGAGATTGACTACGAGTTCGGGCCCTTGACCGGGAGGGAGATGGAGCATTGGATGGAGCAGGGGCAGGTGTCTTGGAATGCGTCCGGCCGGTGGTAGACTTCCCTCGGGTCCGTTTGGGCGGGGATCCCAGAGATGCAGGGTTGCATTTGATCTTCTTGGTGGAGCAGCGGATGCAAGACAAGCAGGGGAGGCTGGACCTCTTGTCCAATTGAGTCGCACAGGGCCAATTTTCCTTGACACAATAATGGCAGGGGTTGTTCTGTAGTATCCATTAGTAGATGGACTAGAGGGAATATATTTGAGTACTCACTGGGCCAGGAATGGTGATATCAAATGTGGTAGTGGCCGGCGGGTCACCATCCGAAGCACTGGAAGTATCATTGGAGGACTCCTCCTCAACTTCCGGACGCCTGCCGGAGGTTGCCTGACAGATTGTTAATACACATGAGTTTCTGGAAAACTTCTAGGACTTACCCGAGCCTCCGGACGACTGACCGGAACCTCCGGACAACTGATGGGAGATTTCTAATGTAATGGGAATGAGTGGGAATTATACATGGGAGGTCCAGACATGTCTAAATGACTCACCGTAACCTCCGGACGACTGCCGGCAGTCAGCTGTGGACACATGAGCATATATTTAAAGTCCAAACGAAAAATGCAAACTTACCGAAGCAGGCCCAAATGATTGCTTCTTGGGGGAACCGGGTGACCGAGGTGACTGGGGCTTCCTTACCACAATGGTGTGCTGGGGAAGGACGACCTCCGGCACTCCACGCGAAATCGGCTGCAACAAATTGAGAGCATGTCAGAAATCAGCCAGAACACATACCTGAACAATTGAGTCCTCATCATCTTCCGACTCCACAAACGGTGTAGGGATTCATTTCTGGTTGGGCTTGTAGAGACTGTTTTTACCTTACCTTATGTTGGCACTTTTGTAGCTTACATAATCAAGCAATCTTTTCACCAGTTACCAGTATGAGTCTGAATGCTCAGTAGTTTTCTATGATATTTCCTCTCCTCTGAGCCTTGAGCCTGGTCCAGAAACCCTTTAGGGTCGAATAGCAGCTAGGTTCTGCAAGACCCAACATATTGTTCAGACTCACCATCTGAATTGTTGTACCTTCAACGGCTTCGACTTGGGGAGTTGAGTTGACTTGACACGCTTGCGAGCCTTCAGCGCCGACTTTGGAGGTTGGGAGGAGTGTCCAGAAATCATTGGAGACTTCCTCTTGTTGCTCCCCCCAACTTCCGGCGACAGGTCGACAGAGGTGGCCTTACCTTTTCCTTTGTCCCGGACCTCGGGGGTCGTCTTGCCGGAAGGTCCGGCGACGACCGGAGGTGAGGGAATGACGGGGGTGGGGGAAGGGACAAGTGCAGGTGAAGGGACAGGTGGAGATGGAAGGTTGAGAGTGAGTGGGCCAGTGGAAACGTTAGGGACAACAGGGAGATCACAGGAATTGTCACCCA